CTCATTGACATTACTATTATTGTCTGTCATGTCAACCCATGACACTATGGGTGCGTTCCGCTTACTCTTACACCAATATATCTGTGTATACAATATAAATGTATTACATTCTCAACACGCCTCCTTACATTTACATTGTATTTACATTAATTCAAATTTAACATACTTCGAAATTTTTCAAATTTATCTTGGCCCAAGGACTTCGTAAAAATATCTGCAATATTATCATCAGAATCTACTTTAACCACATTTATAACATTTGCTTTAACATAATCATTTACATAATGATAATGAATTTCAACATGCTTAGAATTTTTTGTAAAATTGCCATAATTAGCTATACTAATTGTACCAGTGTTATCTTCATAAACATCAATTGGCTTTATTATTTCAATATCAAATATTTTCAACAATTCTTTTACAAATATCAATTCACTTACTGCTTCTGACAATGCTACATACTCTGCAAAAGTTGAAGCTTTTGTAACGCTTTTTTGTTTTCTAGATTTCCAATAAATTACATTACCAAACAATCTTATTACAAAACCAGTTGTAGACTTTTTATCTAAATGATCACCTGCCCAATCGGCATCCACATAACAATCAATAATACTTACTTTTTCATTTCTGTTATAAAACAATTTTAAATCTTTAGTTAAGCATAAATATTTCAAAATTCGTACAGCATATTTAAAGTGCGTTTCATTATAGCAATTTTGAAATCTACTCAGATAATTTACGCTGAAACTTATATCAGGCCTTGTTGCCGAACTTATGTATAATAGTGCACCAATTAAATTTTTATATTTAATATTTCTTTCACAATGATCAGATTTATCAATTTTTAAATTTACTTCCATAGGTGTATTATACAGTTTACCTTTTTCTAAATTATATTTTTTCCTTAATAATTCAATATATTTATTTTGATCCAATCTCATTTCATGTTTACTAGAATCATAATCAACAGTAATACCAAGATATTCTTTAATTTCACCAATATCTTTCATTTTAAATTTTTCTGATAATAAAATTTTAATCCTTTTAATTTCATTTAAATTTCTACCACAAATCAATAAATCATCGACATAAATTAATAAGTAAATAATATCATTTCCAATTTTATAAACGTACAAACAAGGATCAATATTACTTCTTTCAAAACCTAAATTTATCAAAAATGTATCTAGGCACTCATACCATGCCCTTGGACTTTCTTTTAAACCATATAAAGCTTTAACTAATTTACAAACTTTACTTGTTCCATCTTCATAACCCTTAGGTTGTTTAATATAAACTTCAGAAATTACTTTACCATTTAAAAAGGCTGTTTCAACATCCATTTGTTCAATTACTAGGCCCATTTGACAACAATATGACAATAAAATCTTTAATGTTTGCATTTTAGCCACAGGTGAATAAATATCATCAATTTCATCAGTTTGTTGAAAACCTCGTACAACCAATCTAGCTTTATAAGTATTATCAGACTTTTTAGTATAAACCCATTTAACATCCAGAATATTTTTGTTTGTATCATTTTTAACCAATTTCCAAGTTTTACTTTTATTTAAACTATCAATTTCTTTGTCCATAGCTGTTTTCCAATACTTACTTTCATTAGAATTTATCGCCTCCTCAAATGTATGTGGTATATCAGTTCTACACATATTTACAAAAATACTACTATTATATACATAGTAGTCATCAAATTTCTTTGGAGGATTTTTGGCTCTGTGAGATCTAGGTAACTCAGGTTCATTTTTATTCACACTATCATCCATACTTTCATTTGTACTTTCAAAAGTTTCATCTATTGAGTCATTTTCAGAGCTTTCATCAATTTTATCAGGGTAACACTCTTCATTATTATCATTATCTGATTCGTTAAAGTCTAAACCTATACACTTAACGTTTTCTTCAACAATATCCACGTGTCTAGCAACAATGACTCTGCCATTTAATAATACACGATAACCAACATTACTATAACCAATTAAAATTCCCATATCAGCTTTCTTATCCCATTTAGAGATTCTCTTCTGTTCTGGTCTTCGTACAAAAACTTTACTTCCATACAAACGCAAATTAGAAACATCAGGTTTCTGTCCAAAAAATATTTCATATGGAGTTTTCTTTTCAATTGTATCAGATAAAGTACGATTTTTCAAATAAACCGCAGCACAAACTATTTCAGGCCAATATTTTTTATGAATATCTGCTTCAGCCAACAAACATCTTGACATATCCATTATAGTTCGATTAAACCGTTCTGCAGTCCCATTCAATTCATGTACATATGTAGGACAATTATCAATTACTATACCCCTTTCTTTTGCAAATCTGTAGACTTTACTGTTCAAATATTCTTTCCCATTATCACATCTTAAAATCTTTATTTTCTTTCCAGTCAAATTTTCACTTTCATTCGTATATTCATTCAAACAATCACATACTTCTGCTTTTGATTTTATAGCATATACTTTAGAAATCTTACTATAATCATCAATGAAAGAAACAAAATAATTTTCACCTTTAAACCCAGTAGTTCGAAAAGGCCCACAAACATCAGTATGTACAATCTCTAAAATATCTTTAGCTTTTTTTCTACTGTTTACAAACGGAATATTATGCATTTTACTTTCAATACAAATCTTACATTTCATAAATTCAGATTCAAACTCATTAGGAATTCCATTCAACAGCTGATCTTTAGATAAAATATTCAAATATTTAAAATTTACATGACCTAATAAACGATGCCATTTTTCCTTTTGATTCATATTATTCATATCTTTATTTGCAACATTTACATGCAATTCAACTGATTTTAATTTACTTTTCATAATATATAAGCCATTATTTTTTAAAGCAACTGCTGTTATATTACCAAGTTTATCAAAAACTTTTGAAATATTACCTAGAGAAATAATCTTATTATTTTCTGTTATTTTGCTATAACTTATCAAATTTGATTTCATATCTTTAACATAGAAAACATTTTGCATATCTACTAAACTCTTTTTACCAAAGCATCAAAGTAACTTAAAACATTTCCAATTTTAGTAGCTTTTACAACCCTATTATCTCCTAAATAAACATTAATGGGATCTTTAAGTAATTTACATTTATCAAATAATTTTTCATCATTAATAATGTGGTCTGTACAACCACTATCTAAAAGCCATTTTATTTCAATACAATTATTTACATTACCTATTTCAGTATTTTGTGCAATAACTGACATATCCTTACCAAGAGCTACTGTTGTAAGCCAAGAAGCACTGTTTCGCTCTTCGTTCTTCTGTCCTTGTCGGTTGAACCGCTGTGCACTTGTTCCATGCGTTCCGCGCTGTCCACGTGAGTGGCCACGTCCTCTGACGTAGCTTCCTCTTCCGGCTTCTTGTCGACCTCGCGTTTCTCTCCACCAGCCTCTACTGCTTGTCGTTTGTCCGCCATTACCCGACGCTTGATTGGCGCCATTTTTGCAATCTCGCTTGAAATGACCAACTTCGCCACACTGGAAGCATGATCGATCCTGTCGACCTTTATTTACCACAAATGTACTGGATTTTCTTCCAAAATCATTGTTTTGATTTTTTAATTCGGACATCATAACCTTAGTTTTTACGTAGTCTGCAGTTTGATCATCTTCTTTTAATGTATCTATTAAATCACCAATATAACTGTACGACTCTGGCAACGTGTTTAACATATAGTTCAATTTTTCCTTTTCAGACACACTAGCACCCGCGCTTTTTAACTCGTTTATAGCTTTTTCGAAGTCACTAAAAAATGTTGCACAGTCTCCATAGTTGTTCAATTTTAATCTTTCCAAGTTATTTCTACATACTATCTGCAATGCCGTTGATTCTTTCAAATATAAATTATCAAATTTCTTTATCATCTCATACGCCGTAGTTTTTTCGTCGATGTACTCCATCTGTCGATCCGATATTGCACCGCATATATAATTCATTGCTTTTACATCATCGTCATCCCAATTTGTATCATCATTTTCATTTTTCGGTCTGGTTACCACAACATCACACTTCTTCATTTTCAAAAATAGCATAAGACGTTTTTTCCACATTTTATAATTCTCCCCATCGAATATAGGTATTCTAAAATCACTACTACCTGCCATCATGTGTCACACTTTTTTTTCAAACTGCACCAAACTTTTCTGTTGTAAAAGGTACGACTTTCCAACCACGGACCTCTGCTACCATGTTAAGGTGTGGATTTGGAAAATAAATAGTCGTACTTTACTACTATTATAAAAGGCTTTATTTCCTATAACATACATACTAATTAACTAACCTAACTTAAGCCACCATACTTCTTACTACTACCTACAACTACATGATACTCATTGACATTACTATTATTGTCTGTCATGTCAACCCATGACACTATGGTGCGTTCCGCTTACTCTTACACCAATATATCTGTGTATACAATATAAATGTATTACATTTCTCAACAAATATACATAAAAACTAAGTAAAACTAGCGCTGTAAAACCCAGAAAATTAATGAAATTATACAAAGTTGTAATGAAAATAATTCGTTGCAAAACTCTCTGCTGTAGCATCATATTATTATTATTATTATTAAGGCCGAAAAGAAAATTTGTAGGTATTTTTGGGTATTTATATAAATATTCTTAGGTATTTTTGTAAATAACTGTTTTATTTTCCATTTTAGCATACAAAGTAATAGGAATAGATTTGTAGACAACTTAATTTGATAAACTAAACTAAACCCATTGCAACCCTTATTCCATAATATCGAGTATTCAAAAACTCGGCCAACGGCTAAAAACAAATTTCCCAGTTATACGTTTTTCCCTAGTGTGCCACCTCAAATGTCTAATTTAAGTTACTCGAATCAGTAAACTTTTAACACAAATTCCGCACTTTTAACGCTTTTCGCTAGTGTGAAATTTCGTATGTCGATCCAAAGAACTTTTATGAGTAAACTGCTTTAAACAAATTTCACATGAAAGGTTTTTCTTCAGTATGAACTTTAATATGTTTATTCAAAGAACTTTTATACGGAAACTGCTTAAAACAAATGTCACACTTGTATGGTGTTTCCCCAGTGTGCCATCTTAAATGTCTTTTTAAACCACTCACATTAGTAAACTGCTTAAAACAAATTTCGCATTTGTAAGGTCTTTCGCCAGTGTGTACCTTAGTATGTACATCCAAAGAATTTTTATGGGCAAATTGCTTTAAACAAATTTCACACTTATAAGGTTTTTCTCCAGTGTGCAATATCATATGTCCTTTTAAACTACTGGCATGAGTAAACGGCTTAAAACAAACTTCGCACTTATAAGGTTTTTCTCCAGTGTGCAATATCATATGTCCTTTTAAACTACTGGCATGAGTAAACGGCTTAAAACAAACTTCGCATTTGTAAGGTTTTTTGCCAATGTGTACCTTAGTATGTGCATCCAAAGAATTTTTATGGGCAAACTGCTTTAAGCAAATTTCACACTTATAAGGTTTTTCTCCAGTATGCAATATCATATGTCCTTTTATACTACTGGCATGAGTAAACGGCTTAAAACAAACTTCGCACTTATAAGGTTTTTCCCCAGTGTGCAATATCATATGTTTTTTTTACACCACTGGAATGAGTAAACGGCTTAAAACAAACTTCGCACTTATAAGGTTTTTCCCCAGTGTGGAATCTCAAATGAATTTTTAAACCACTAGATTTAGTAAACTGCTTAAAACAAATTTCGCATTTGTTAGGATTTTCACCAGTGTGAATTTTCGTATGGTCATCCAAATAATTTTTACGAGCAAACTGCTTTAAACAAATTTCACACTTGAAAGGTCTTTCTCCAGTATGCACTTTAATATGTTTATCCAAAGAACTTTTATACGGAAACTTCTTAAAACAAATTTCACACTTGTGATGCTGATCTTCAGTGTGTAATCTCAAATGTGTTTTCAGATTATCTTTCAGAGAAAACTGCTTAAAACAAATTTCACACTGATGTTTTTGTTCACTGTGTACATTAGTATGCCTATCTAAATATTTTCTATGAGTAAACTGCTTAAAGCACATGTCGCACGTGTAAGGTTTTTCTCCTGTGTGAAGTATCATGTGTTTGTTTAATGAATTTCTTTGATGAACTTGCTTAAAACAAATTTTATAATTTATTGTTTTTTCTTCAATAGGTCGGTGCACAGGTTGTTCTTCGTTACATGAATGTACAAGTATTGTTTTCATAGTTTCCGATGGGTTTTCCTCTTCGAGAAACCCTAAAAAAAATATATTCATTTAAATGGTAATTTAAAAGAACTAAAAAAACGAGATTACGTCTCATTGATTAACAAATTATTTCTTTGGAGCCAAAGACCCAGTACCAATGACCACCGAGTGACAGCTTTATTAAATGGATTAATATATCATTAATATATCATTAGCATTAATATATCAGTAAGATTTATTCATTTTTAAGCCGACATTCCTATGAAACATGGATGATGTTTCATATATGTTTGATCAATATAACCTTTTTGATTGTTTGAGGTTGAAGTTTTGGTATGAGAGTTTTGAGGAATACAATGAAATATGATTGTTACTTTTAACAGATTTATTGTTTTTCCAATACAATTATTTAAGTTATAACTACTTTTCGCAGCAAGTTTTAATAAAATATTTCTGAAAATTGTGCCTAAAACTTAATGACATTCTTTCATTAGGAACAAATATAACTTTTAAGAAACACTCAATCCAGGGTACTTATTCAGGATGTGATTTGCACGATTAATTGCGAAAATTATTTGAAACAAATTTCACAAGTTTTTCTTTAGCGTGCCATCTCAAATGTGCTTTCAAATTAGCTTTCTGGAAAAATGGTTTAAAACAAATTTCCGCACTTAAAGGACTTTTACTCGCCTTAAAGCGGAAAACAAAAACTATTGTTTTGAATTTTGTTTTTTTACGTAAAAACCTTCAATATTATCAAAGAAATACTGTCCTAAGTTCGAAATAGAAACCAATTTATAGTTGTGTTTATAATGGTAAGCATAGGCGCGCCCCACTGCACCTGCAACTCGACAGTTCATTTCGAAAACTTATAAAGCGAGCATTTGTGTTTTATATTATTGATCGATAATTATTATTTTGAAGATCCAAAAAAAATGCCTGGATATGGTGGTTAAAACAATTCTGAATTACTAAGTTCCTCGGCAAAATTGGAGATAAAAATACAACTTGGAATAAAAATTGGAGAAATAGCAACCAATTGGTCGGAAAACATCGAAGAGGCCCGTATTGCTTAATAGACGGAACAGCGAGACCTTAAAAGACAACGATTTCTGAAGTGCAAATTGAAACGTCATAAACTTATTTATTTGAACCTTTAATTGTGGCTTATTCCCATTAAAATAGTAACTAATTTTAAACGCCACAAGAAACTGGTTTCAGAACAATATCAAAAGAGGAAAGAGATAGAAAAAAAAGCTTTTGACCGACCATTTACAGTTTTTACTGGACTGTGAGGGCACCCAATATGCACCAGGAATCGCTGATTAGAGGTAAAAAATAAAGATATCTATTTTATTTTATAAAATTACAACAAATATACATGACTAAAGGAACCTCTTAAAAGGTTCAAAAACACCCCACCTAATCTTTTTAGTACAGGGGTAAATTCACCGGCAAACAGGCGTATTTTCGAATTATTTATAAATTTGCGTATAAATGCCTTAAAAATATTAAAATAATTAATTTTTTAAAGCTTTATTTATTAGTTTTAAGTGTCATAAATTCAATCCCGTTAGAATTAAAAAAAAAATACAGGAAGGAAAGTGTCTCCCAAATTAAAATGTATCTCTTGGAGACGCCCTCTGCAGTGGTGAAAAACATCTAAAAGTGCGAAAACATTATAACCACAAATATAATAGTTTTTTGTTTTTAATATTTAAAAATTGTCTTTTTTCCGATTTAGGAATTAAAAGTCCCCTTAAAACGTTTTCCTCCACTGTGAACTTTCATATGTCGATTCAAAGAAGATTTATGAGTGAACTGATTAAAACAAATTTCGCACTTGTGAGGTTTTTCCCCAGTGTGCAATCTCAAATGTACTTTCAAATTAGCTTTGTGTGAAAACTGATTAAAACAAATTTCGCACTTGTAATTCTTTTCTCCAGTGTGCAACTCAAATGTGTTGTCAAATGACTTGTTTGTGTAAACTGCTTACAACAAATTTCACACTTGTAAGGCTTTTCTCCAGTGTGAATTTTCATATGATAATTCCAAGAACTTTTGAAAGTAAACTGCTTGAAACAAAGTTCGCACTTGTGAGGTTTTTCCCCAGTGTGCAATCTCAAATGTCTTTTTAAACCACTCGAACCAATAAACGGCTTAAAACAAATTTCGCACTTGTAAGGCTTTTCTCCAGTGTGAATTTTCAAATGATGATTCAAAGAACTTTTATGAGCGAACTGCTTAAAACAAATTTTACAATTTGTTTTTTTTTCAATGGGTTGGTGCATAGGTTGTTCTTTACTACATGAATATAGATGTATTGTTTTCTGAGTTTCTGATGTGTTTTCCTCTTCAAGAAAGCCTAAAAAAATTCAAAATATATATTTTTTCATTTCAGAAAAATCTAACGCAATAGAAAAAAATATTGACACCTGAGTATGACATTATGACTAAAATACACCAAAGACACAATGTTAAGTTCATGATTTGTTCCAAAATATTTAAGAAAAACTTCTAGACTTCAATAACGCCCATGGCCACAATCAGGGTTATATGACTCACAACAACATTGAAATTAATAGGAACATATATACAAAAGGAACATTTTTATTCTCGAGAGAGAAAGAGAAAATATCTTCTGTCTTCTCTTACATTTCCAACGTCGAACGCGCGTATATAAGTATAACTTCAATAAAGAAGAGCAAGAATAATAGAAAACATTCGTTGGAACATGAAAGGAAGCCCTCATACAATTTGGAGGAAGATGGTCAGTATCACTAGAGATACTGCCATTGAAATACTTTAGAAAACGTTAGCAAAGAAGTTTAAGAATAAAGAGACTTGGTGGGGGTCAAACGAAGTACAAGAAAAAATAAAAAAAAGAGAAAATTATACACAGCAGCAAAAAAGTAGGTCATATACAATCTTTAAAACTACATGGTCGCCAAGTAGCAGTAACAAAAACTAAAGTAGAAGCGTATACAAATATATACGATTAACTTCATATCAGGGAATGCGAAACAGTGATTATATAAAATAGCCAAGCATAGAATACAGAACGCAAGAGCTTTTAATTAGATTAGCTGCATCCGGGATAAAAATAATGAAATACTAATTCACGAAAATGATGTCAAAAAGAGATGGTTAAGTACTTTAACGAAGATAGTAGAAGCAATGGTCACCAAAATATTAAATTAGGAAGTGATTCAAGCACTTCAATAATAAAGAAAAGAAAGGCAGTTGGATCAGACAATATTACTTGGGAAGTGTAGAGAGCATTAGGGGAAACAGAAACAAGTTGGTTACCTAGCCACACCATTAAAATATGAAAGAAAGTAACTGATAGATGTTTCGAAATGAAATTAATATTGGTAAAACGGTCAACTAAACTATAATAACACATAAACTTTTAATTAACACCAATTAAAATATTTAAATAAATTTCTTCGTATAACAAATGCGTCGTTTACCCTATGGATCACAATTCTCTGATTGTAATATGCTTATTGTGATTTAAAACAAATCGGAAAACGCCATTATGTGGTCAGTGTACAACCGATTTCTTTGGAGTCAAAGGCCGACGGTCTTCACATCACCTCTTTATTAATTAGCTAACGAACGTGTTTAGGTATATAATCATTGCTGAGATATAAAGACTTTTTAATTTGATTACGATTTCTTAGGTTATATCTTCTTGCTAATTCTGTGACTTTATCTTCATTTACAGATTCTTCACCATTCTGTGAGATTATTTCATAATCGATTTCATTTTGTTCTAATTGAGAATTAGCAGAGAATTTTTTGGGTTATATAAGGAGGTATTATCTTGTAGAGGCAATAGAACTCGTTTCTGACAATCAGTTAGTCTTTCCAAAAATTTACCGTCTCTTGAAAAGATTACCTTATTCTCTTCCTTAACTTTGTACAAATTCTATATCTTTCTTCTCCAACATAAGCAATCAAATAGTCTTTGATTGCCTTTTTGTCCATTTTATTTCTTGTTTACACTGGAACATGTGCATAATAGGTTGTAGCTATGATTTTTAAGAGATTTATTCTAGGTTTCTTACCTATCCTATGCGGACTTTTCCCTTTTACCATTGACTTTCTTGTTCGATTCAGGATATAAATTGCTGTACCAACTAGTTCTGCCCATGAAGTTTCAGGAAACTGTACTTCAGAATTAGAATTACCTATACCTATGTTCTAGCCATTTCAACAATAGTACGATTATCTCGTTCACTAGAACCATTTTGCTCAGGTGTGTACGGAGCGAGTAATTCCGTGTTCTCATAAAATCATTCTGACGTCTTTATTGTCAAATTCTCCACCATTATCACTAAGTAGTTTCTCCTTAATCATATGTCCTTGAGTTTTAGCATGGGCGATCATTAGAGTGAGTTTTAGCATGAGCGTTAGAGTTCCTATTCTGGATTTTACTTCAAATATTTTATGTTTTGTTTCGTAATGCCGTTTAACATTCGAACTTTTAATTATTGCCACAGTCTGATGGCAAATCAAACAAACAGGTACGGCTCCAACTCGGTTTGCCAAACTGAAACAATATAAAGCTGTCCATTCAGGTTGAAACTGCACGTTTTCTGATTCAATTTTTCTTTTCTTATCAATATTGATATCAATGTAAAATATAAACAACGCTAGAATTATATAGAAAACAACACTTGAAAGCATTAACGAGAAACATGATAAAAGAATAAAAACGTAAACAACACTCAGAATGATGAGTGATCGAAGACCGCGATGCGACAAGCAAAAATGTCGCACTCCTTGGCTCAATGGTCGGTGTTTTGCCATCGATATTTAGGTATTCGATAACATCGATGTTAAATGAAAATATCCAACATCAACCCCAGTAATCTTTAGTTTCATTAAATACAATAGAATTATTATGAAATTCTGCAGAATGGTTACTATGTTCGAAATATGCAAATTGAGATAATGTTATTATAAAATATTACCTAAAAAATTTGAAAAAAACATTTTAGTTGTATTATAGACTCGTTACTAGGTACGTCATAAATATGCAAATTAAAATAATTTTAGTATTCAGGCAGCTTCCCTTTATAGTTTGCTAAAAGTTTATTTTTATGTAGGTTTTTTATTGAAATTTTGAAAAACCCTTTAGTCGAAACATATTGCTTAGATTACTATATGTTTCTATAGAGTATTTTTATATAGTACGTACTGTGCATTTTAAACATGTAAAGATATTTATATATTTAGATTTGATTATAATTTTACACTATAATTTTATTACTATATTTTGAATTTAACGGCGGTCCGCAAAAACAAGCTCACGGTCAGAATGCGGACCGCAGTCCGTCATTTGGTGACCCCTGCTGTAGGCCTTTCATTGCCGAGATATAGGGGCGTAGGAAATTTCGACACTAAGCAGGTAGCGACTAAAATTTAATGGCAATTTTCGACACCAGCCCCAATTCCAGTTTTTATCTTACAGGTACATTCGACACCAAATAAATATAGCTGCGACATAAATAAAATACCATAATTAATTAATTTATTTTAATAAAAGTAATGTGCATTTTATTTCTTTATAACTGTAATAATATCTAAATATAATACAACTAGTACCTAATTTTTGTACATTTTACCATTAATATACTTGTATACAATGATTTATTTGCTATTATAGGAATGATAAGATACAGCTTTTTTAAAATCTAACCTACGTATTTGTTGGGATCGTAGTTTATCCATCATTTTCTCCAAAAATGCCAATTTAGCCTTAACAGTAGTATCTTTGATTTTTGCTGGTATATGTAAACTATTTATTTTGACATAAGTGTCTACTTGAAATTCTTTTAACTTTTCAATAAAAATAAAAATAGAAGGATGTGTTGAATAAAAAGAAGAATTAAATCTCGAATGAAAGGATTCACAGGCATTTGTGGTCCTCGCAATAGACGGATTCTGATTAGACCATATGTGTGGTGGAAATAGACCGCTATCGAAAATGTAATTTTCCAGTAAATAATCTGCATATAAATCAAGTGTTGCGTTTATAGGTTTATATGACATTAAATCATAAAGAAAGCATTTCTTCAACTTCTGCTGGATTTAAATAAGTTAAACCAAACGCATGCTTTAACCATTTTCCAATTTCTGAATTTGTATCCTTATATTCTTGTACCAAACCCAAAGATTGAATTTTTTTAAACCAGTTTTGGTGTAAGTGAAAACGGCATCACTAATTTTTGCATTGGGCCACATATACAATAAAGTACAGTGAATTGCTTTTTCAAAGTTCACAAATATTTCAGTTGGCTCTAATGATAATTGAAATGTTTCAAAAATCTTAGACCTTAATAAAGAAAATAACTTTTTGTATGTCATTGACAATTTGTCCTTAAACAAACAGTATGCTAAAGGAACATAATGTCCATTTTCCAAGCCATGTATAGTAAATAATTGTAGAAAATATTTGGTACTGTATGAAAATGTACCATCCATATACAAAGTTGTTAATTTACACAACAACGAATATTTGTCTCGCATGAAAATACAATTACATTTAATTCAGGATGATTTAAAAACAAAAAAAACTTTCATTGCGACAGGTTTTAGGAGAATAATTACTAACCGCGTTATGGACTTCTGATATGCTTCTTGGTAACGGATCTGGTAACAGTTTACGACGACAGTTGTAAATGTTCTTTCTTATGCTAGCTATGTCAAGAACCGTCATCAAATTGGCATCACACTCAGCAACAGCAGTTCTTGTAATTTTGGCAGGCTTTTCCGATATGTCCTCTTGGGCTTTTCTTTTACATGCATTGGTTACCATCTTTACTTCAAGCTTTTTTGGATCGGCTTCATGATTATGTACCAAATCACTTCTTGTGATAGTGAGGTCCTCACAGCCTATTGTAAACACTTTTGCGGAACACTTAGTGTTTCTTTGGATGCAGCGCCAAAATATCTCGCCGCTTTTTAACACTTTCTGTTTCGAGAACGAATGATGCTTCACCACTAATAAATCTTGACCACGGGAACTTTTTATCAAACTCATTTTTTAAATATCCGTATACGTGCACAAGTCAACGTCAAACAAGAAATAAATTACAACTGAAATAATTTAGTCACAAGTACACAAGTGCCACGCCCCCCGCCGTGACAATAAATGTTGGGAAAACCCGCTTATCCTGCTGGGTGCAAATGTCCATCGCCGCTAATTACCTACCTACCTGCTCTACGCCGCGGTGTCGAAATTTCCTATAATAAAATTTGACCCTTCGATTACCCCAGGTACAAAGACAATTTGGTGTCGAAAGTTCGCCCGCCGAGATATAGCTATGGCTACGTAGTTTTACCACAAAGTTAGCAAAAGATTGTTTCTCAGAAACGGTTCTAGCAATAAATTGTTTCTTGGTGTAAAACATCAGCAATCAATTAGTAATCCATTCCTTGCGGTCAACTTTTCTATAATAGTTTCATCGTTTTTAACCGATATCTCGATTTTTCCAGCGGTGAGTTTTGTGCTTGGGGCTGATGGGGTAGTTTTTGGGAAGTGGTTAATGTACAAATTAATTAGAAATAAAATATGCCAACAAGATAGGCCTCCTGTAGGCCTTTTCATTGCCGAGATATAGCTATGGCTAGCTTCACCGTAAAGTTAGCATCACCGACATGAATATACTAACAGATTTATTATCGGAAACGTACAACACAATTCCTACCTCTCCCTATTATTAGCTTAAATAAACTGAAAGTTACAGACTTTTTTCATTAAATAATGAAGAATAATCATGAAAAATGGGACTGCATGTTTAATTTTTTTATAATAAACGAGCCTAAATATATTTTACATCAAATGCGTCGTTTAACTTATAGATTACAATTCTATTGTCATTTAAAAGAACTCCAAAAACGAGATTACATATCATTGAATAACAAATTATTTCTTTGGAGCCAAAGACCAAGTACCAATGGCCACCGAGTGACAGCTTTATTAAATGGTTCAATCATTAATATATCAGTAAGATTTATTCATTTTTAAGCCGACATTCCTATGAAACATGGATGATGTTTCATATATGTTTGATCAATATAACCTTTTTGATTGTTTGAGGTTGAAGTTTTGGTATGAGAGTTTTGAGGAATACAATGAAATATGATTGTTACTTTTAAGAGATTTATTGTTTTTCCAATACAATTATTTAAGTTATAACTACTTTTCGCAGCAAGTTTTAATAAAAGAATTCTGAAAATTGTGCCTAAAACTTAATGACATTCTTTCACTAAGAACAAATATATCTTTTAAGAAAACTCAATCCAAGGTACTTATTCAGGACGTTATTTGCACGATTAGTTGCGAAAATTATTTGAAACAAATTTCAAAATTGTACGGTTTTTCAAATTCCACACAAGGTTTTTCTCCAGCGCGCCATCTCAAATGTGTTTTCAAATTAGCTTTCTGGAAAAATGGCTTAAAACAAATTTCGCACTTAGGGGACTTTTACTCACCTTAAAGGGGAAAACAAAAAATATTGTTTTGATTTTTGTTTTTTTTTACGTAAAAACCTTCAATATTATCAAAGAAATACTGTTCTAAGTTCGAAATAGAAACCAATTTATAGTTGTGCTTATAACGGTAAGCATAGGCGCACCCCACTGCACCTGTGAACCTGCAACTCGACAGTTCATTTCGAAAACTTATAAAGCGAGCATTTGTGTTTTATATAATTTATCGATAACTATTATTTTGAAAATCCAAAAAAATGCCTGCCAACTTGGAATAAAAATTGGAGAAACAGCAACCAATTGGTCGGAAAATATCGAAGAGGCCCGTATTGCTTAAGTCAATAGACGGAACAGCGAGACCTTAAAAGACAACGATTTCTGAAGTGCAAATTGAAACGTCATAAACTTATTTATTTGAACCTTTAATTGTGGCTTATTTCCATTAAAATAGTAACTAATTTTAAATGCCACAAGAAAATGGTTTCAGAAAAATATCAAAAGAGGAAAGACATAGAAAAAAAAGCTTTGACCGACCATTTACAGTTTTTACTGGACTGTGAGGGCACCCAATATGCACCAGGAATCGCTGATTAGAGGTAAAAAATAAAGATATCTATTTTATTTTATAAAATTACAACAAATAAACATGACTAAAGGAACCTCTTAAAAGGTTCAAAAACACCCCACCTAATCTTTTTAGTACAGGGGTAAACTCACCGGCAAACAGGCGTATTTTCGAATTATTTATAAATTTGCGTATAAATGCCTTAAAAATATTAAAATAATTAATTTTTTAAAGCTTTATTTATTAGTTTTAAGTGTCATAAATTCAATCCCGTTAGAATTAAAAAAAAAATTACAAGAAGGAAAGTGTCTCCCAAATTAAAATGTATCTCTTGGAGACGCCCTCTGCAGTGGTGAAAAACATCTAAAAGTGCGAAAACATTACCTATAACCACAAATATTATAGTTTTTTGTTTTTAATATTTAAAAATTGTCTTTTTTCCGATTTAGGAAGTAAAAGTCCCCTTAAAACGTTTTCCTCCACTGTGAACTTTCATATGTCGATCCAAAGAAGATTTATGAGTGAACTGATTAAAACAAATTTCGCAGTTGTATGGTGTTTCCCCAGTATGCCATCTCAAATGTGTTTTCAAATTACCTTTCTGAAAAAAACTGCTTTAAAACAAATTTCGCACTTGTAAGACTTTTCTCCAGTGTGCAATCTCAAATGTCTTGTCAAATGACCTGTTTATATAAACTGCTTAAAACAAATTTCACACTTGAAAGGCTTTTCTCCAGTGTGAATTTTCATATGATCATTCAAAGAATATTTATGAGTAAACTGCTTAAAACAAATTTCGCACTTGTAAGGCTTTTCTCCAGTGTGCAATCTCAAATGTGTTTTCATATTAGATTTCCGAAAAAACTGCTTACAACAAATTTCACACTTATAAGGTTTTTCTCCAGTGTGCAATATCATATGTCCTTTTAAACTACTGGCATGAGTAAACGGCTTAAAACAAACTTCGCATTTATGTTTTTCACCAGTGTGAACTTTAATATGTTTATCCAAAGAACTTTTATACGGAAACTGCTTAAAACAAATTTCACACTTGTAAGGCTTTTCTCCAGTGTGCAATCTCAAATGTGCTTTCATATTAGCTTTCCGAAAAAACTGCTTACAACAAATTTCACACTCGTAAGGTTTTTTCCCAGTGTGCAATCTCAAATGTTGTTTTAAACCAGTTAAATCAATAAACGGCTTAAAACAAATTTCGCACTTGTAAGGCTTTTCTCCAGTGTGCAATCTCAAATGTATTTTCAAATGACTTTTTTGTGTAAACTGCTTACAACAAATTTCACACTTGTAAGGCTTTTCTCCAGAGTGAATTTTCATATGATAATTCCAAGAACTTTTGTGAGTAAATTGCTTAAAACAAATTTGGCACTTGTAAGGCTTTTCTCCAGTGTGAATTTTCAAATGATGTTTCAAAAATCTTTTATGAGTAAACTGCTTAAAACAAATTTTACAATTTGTTTCTTCTTCAATGGGTTGGTGCATAGGTTGTTCTTTACTACATGAATATAGATGTATTGTTTTCTTAGTTTCCGATGTGTTTTCCTCTTCAAGAAAGCCTAAAAAAACTCAAAATATATATTTTTTCAATTCAGAAAAATCTAATGCAATAAAAAAAAATATTGACACCTGAGTATGACATTATGACTGAAATACACCAAATTTCATGATTTGTTCCAAAATATTGAAGACAAACTTCTAGACCTCAATAACGCCCATGGCCGCAATCAGGGTTATGTGACTCACAACATTGAAATTAATAGGAACATATATACAAAAGGAACATTTTTATTCTCGAGAGAGAAAGAGAATATATCTTCTGTCTCTCTCTTACATTTCCAACGTCGAACACGCGTATAGAAGTATAACTTCAATAAAGAAGAGCAAGAATAATAGAAAACATTCGTTGAAACATGAAAGGAAGCCCTCATACAATTTGGAGGAAGATGGTCAGTATCACTAGAGATACTGCTATTGAAATACTTTAGAAAACGTTAGCAAAGAAGTTTAAGAATAAACAGACTTGGTGGGGGTCAAACGAAGTACAAGAAAAAATAAAAAAAAGTGAAAATTATACACAGCAGCAAAAAAATAGGTCATATACAGATCTTTAAAACTACATGGTCGCCAAGTAGCAGTAACAAAAGCTAAAGTAGAAGCGTATACAAATCTATACGATTAATTTCATATCAGGGAATGCAAAACAGTGATTATATAAAATAGCCAAGCATAGAATACAGAAAGCAAGAGCTTTTAATTAGATTAGCTGCATCCGGGATAAAAATAATGAAATACTAATTCACGAAAATGATGTCAAAAAGACATGGTTAAGTACTTTAACGAAGACAGTAGAAGCAATGGTCACCAAAATATTAAATTAGGAAGTGATTCAAGCACACAAATAATAAAGGAAAGAAAGGCAGTTGGATCAGACGATATTACTGGGGAAGTGTAGAGAGCATTAGGGGAAACAGAAACAAGTTGGTTACCTAGCCACACCATTAAAATATGAAAGAAAGTAACTGATAGATGTTTCGAAATGAAATTAATACTGGTAAAACGGTCAACTAAACTATAATAACACATAAACTTTTAATTAACACCAATTAAAATATTTAAATAAATTTCTTTTTATAACAAATGCGTCGTTTACCCTATGGATCACAATTCTCTGATTGTAATATGCTTATTGTAATTTAAAACAAATCGGAAAACGCCATTATGTGGTCAGTGTACAACCGATTTCTTTGGAGTCAAAGGCCGACAGTCTTTCTCATCACCTCTTTATTAATTTGCTACCGAACGTGTTTAGGTATATAATCATTGCTGAGATATAAAGACTTTTTAATTTGATTACGATTTCTTAGGTTATATCTTCTTGCTAATTCTGTGACTTTATCTTCATTTACAGATTCTTCACCATTCTGTGAGATTATTTCATAATCGATTTCATTTTGTTCTAATTGAGAATTAGCAGAGAATTTTTTTGGTTGTATAAGGAGGTATTATCTTGTAGAGGCAATAGAACTCGTTTCTGACAATCAGTTAGGCTTTCCAAAAATTTACCGTCTCTTGAAAAGATTACCTTATTCTCTTCCTTAACTTTGTACAAATTCTATATCTTTCTTCTCCAACATAAGCAATCAAATAGTCTTTGATTGCCTTTTTGTCCATTTTATTTCTTGTTTACACTGGAACATGTGCATAATAGGTTGTAGCTATGATTTTTAAGAGATTTATTCTAGGTTTCTTACCTATCCTATGCGGACTTTTCCCTTTTACCATTGACTTTCTTGTTCGATTCAGGATATAAATTGCTGTACCAACTAGTTCTGCCCATGAAGTTTCAGGAAACTGTACTTCAGAATTAGGATTACCTATACCTATGTTCTAGCCATTTCAACAATAGTAAGATTATCTCGTTCACTAGAACCATTTTGCTCAGGTGTGTACGGAGCGAGTAATTCCGTGTTCTCATAAAATCATTCTGACGTCTTTATTGTCAAATTCTCCACCATTATCACTAAGTACACTGCGCTCCAAAATTAACGCATAATTTTAAAATTCGTATTTTGATAAGTGTTAAAAACCGGTCTTGATTAGGAGTTGTAACCCTTTTACGGCCTTGACCGGGTCTTCTTGAGTTACTTCCAGTAACAGAAAGACGTGTTAACACTCTTGAAATTGTTGACTGGGGGACGTTAAAACGTTCAGCGAGTTCTACTTGAGTGTATCCTTCTTCGCGAAGAGTAACGATTCTAAAACAGTCACTTTCTGACAAATTTCGATTTTCTTGCTGCGGGTGGTTCATTTCAAAGAAATAAACACTTAATAAACTTGAAAAACCCCTTTAAAACGTTCAGCACAACGAAATCCAACCCAACTAAATTCGAAATAAAATGAAGCACAATTAGCATGTTTTTAATTTTTTGCAAAAAAATGATAAAAACATCAGCGTTTTTTACCGTTCTTTCGATAAATTTTACAATATACCGGGGGGTAACGATAATATATTAGCACAAAAATCGAAACATTAAAATTATTTAATTTACCAGGGTTTTTAAAATTATGCGTTAATTTTGGGGTGCAGTGTAGTTTCTCCTTAATCATATGTCCTTGAGTTTTAGCATGGGCGATCGTTAGAATGAGTTTTAGCATGAGCGTTAGAGTTCCTACTCTGGATTTTACTTCAAATATTTTATGTTTTGTTTCGTAATGCCGTTTAACATTCGAACTTTTAATTATTGCCACAGTCTGATGGCAAATCAAACAAACAGGTACGGCTCCAACTCGTTTTGGCAAAGTGAAACAATATAAAGCTGTCCATTCAGGTTGAAACTGCACGTTTTCTGATTCAATTTTTCTTTTCTTATCAATATTGATATCACTGTAAAATATAAACAACGCTAGAATTATATAGAAAACAACACTTGAAAGCATTAACGAGAAACATGATAAAAGAATAAAAACGTAAACGCGACAAGCAAAAATGTCGCACTCCTTGGCTCAATCTTCGATGTTTTGCCATCGATATTTTAGGTATTCGATAACATCGATGTTAAATGAAAATATCCAACATCAACCCCAGTAATCTTTAGTTTCATTAAATACAATAGAATTATTATGAAATTCTGCAGAATGGTTACTATGTTCGAAATATGCAAATTGAGATAATGTTATTATAAAATATTACCTAAAAAATTTGAAAAAAACATTTTAGTTGTATTATAGACTCGTTACTAGGTACGTCATAAATATGCAAATTAAAATAATTTTAGTATTCAGGCAGCTTCCCTTTATAGTTTGCTAAAAGATTATTTTTAGGTAGGTTTTTTATTGAAATTTTGAAAAAACCCTTTAGTCGAAACATATTGCTTAGATTACTATATGTTTCTATAGAGTATTTTTATATAGTACTGTGCATTTTAAAAATGTAAAGATATTTATATATTTAGAATTGATTATAATTTTTACACTATAATTTTATTACTATATTTTGACTTTAACGGCGGTCCGCAAAAAACAAGCTCACGGTCCGAATGCGGACAGCAGTCCGCCATTTGGTGACCCTGCTGTAGGCCTTTCATTGCCGAGATATAGCTATGGCTACGTAGTTTTACCACAAAGTTAGCCAAACATTGTTTCTCGGAAACGGTTCTAGCAATAAATTGTTTCTTGGTGTAAAACATCAGCAATCAATTAGTAATCCATTCCTTGCGGTTAACTTTTCTAGTTTCATCGTTTTTAACCGATATCTCGATTTTTCCAGCGGTGAGTTTTGTGCTAGGGGCTGACGGGGTAGTTTTTGGAAAGTGGTTAATGTACCAATTAATTAGAAATAAAATATGCCACCAAGATAGGCCTCCTGTAGGCCTTTTCATTGCCGAGATATAGCTATGGCTAGATTCACCGTAAAGTTAGCATAACCGACATGAATATACTAAGAGATTTATTATCGGAAACGTACAACACAACAATTCCTACCTCTCCCTATTATTAGCTTAAATAAACTGAAAGTTACAGACTTTTTTCATTAAAAAATGAAGAATAATCATGAAAAATGGGACTGCATGTTTATTAATTGTTTTATAATAAACGAGCCTAAATATATTTTTATATCAAATACGTCGTTTTAACTTATGGATTACAATTCTCCTATTGTCATTTAAAAGAACTCCAAAAACGAGATTACGTATCATTGAATAACAAATTATTTCTTTGGAGCCAAAGACCAAGTACCAATGGCCACCGAGTGACAGCTTTATTATAGTCCGTGCAAGCACTCTTGACCACGGCGCAGTAGACGAAATTTGGTTTAGTCCCCACCTCCACGCGAAACGCACTGTACTATGCAACGTGAAAATATCGACTTGAATATTTTTAGTTGTGTTTCTGACTTTGAGGTGTTAACTTCAATAAGTTTGTGTGTTGTCTCCCGTTTACCTGTTGCATATTCAAATTTATTAAAAGCGGTCAAAAGGTAGGTACTTTATCATAAATTAAAATACATAGGGGTGCATTAAGGAAATTTTAATAAAATTTTTTCATTTCTTTTTTGTTTTGAGACTGGTGCAAAACAAAAATTACTTGCAGTCTGTTTCAATTAATTGGTTAATATTTGATATTGGAAAATCTTTTTTTTTTAAACTACTTCATATGTTACGATTTACGTTGATTTGAGTTTACATTTTTTTTAAATCATTGTTTTATATATCGTGTTCTTTTTAACATAAAATTTTACATTTTTAAAACTTTTTTAACATAAAAAATAATTTTTGTTGATAAAAATAGAAAATTTCAATACTTATTTTATAGATACGTAGTTATGTAATCTTAACCTTTTTTTTTAATTCGTTGTCGGATTATAATTAAATTATATTCTTTTGGTGATTTTTTTATAGAAAAAATAAACATTTTATAACACCTACCGAACATAGAAGTGATATTTTTTTTAAATTTATATTTAGATCAATCATAATTGTTTAATCAAAATATTTTTATATTTTCATTTCCTTCACAGAGCCATCATAATGAATAACAGCCGTGTTATTCACAGTCAGGGCCGACATATTGTTTACAATGTGTATAAGTTTTTAAAAAAGGAACAAGAAAAACACAACACAAAATCTTCGGTTTTAAATATGGTTGTTGAAGCCACTGGAATTTCTAAAAGTAGCGTCCAAAGAATTATTAAAGAAGGAGAGAGAGTTTCCGATTTTTCATCTTTTTCAGGCAGCTCGGGAAATGTCTTTAAATTTCCCAGAAAAAAAAATTAATCAGCCAAAACCGAAAACCAACGTCGATGGTTATGAGGGAGAAATTATAAGAAAACATGCCTTTGCAATTATTCATGGCAGCAGCCCTACAACGTCAGCTGTTTACAACGCTGTTAAGAATGAGATTAATTTGTAAGGTAAACTATCGTCGTTCAGAAAAGTGTTGAAGAAATTAGGTTTTAAATGGCAAAAAACAAATGATAACCGCAAAATACTTATGGAAAAAAAAGGATATTCGAACCAAACGAACCGAATATCTAAAAAAAATAATAAAAGATAGAGCTGAGTGTTATAATGATAAAATGTTTCATCTACACTGATGAAACGTATCTCCACAGCAGCCATACAACATCTAAATCATAGGATGATGGTTCAAGCAAGTGTTTAAAGTCTCCTGTTGCCAAAGGTCAGTGGTTAATTATCGTACATGCAGGAGGGGAAAAAGGTTTCGTTCCAAATGGCCTACTAATTTTCAAATCTGGTCAGCGTACTGGAGATTATCATAATGATATGAACCACGAAAATTTTATAAAATGGCTTCAAGAAAAGTTAATTCCCAACTTGCAGCAGAAATCCGTGCTTGTATTGGACAACGCATCCTATCATAACGTAGCCTGTGAAGTTGCCCCTACATCTTCATGGAAAAAAAGGACATGCAGCGATGCATTAAATTGAATAAACCAGCACACAAACAATATGTAGTAGACACTATAATGGCGAAACAAGGACACATTGTATTACGTCTTACTCCATGTCACCCTGAACTAAATCCTATTGAAAAAATTTGGGCAGTAGTTAAAAATCATGTGGCTTCAAAGAATGTGTCGTTTAAAATGTCCGACGTTAGGCAAATAGCGGAAGAAAAATTCAACAATCTCCTAAATAACATTATAAATCAATACAAAAATTAGTTAATTTGTAAATAATTTTTAAGTAGATACAACTGTTTAGACATTTTAAAAATAAATTATTAAATTAAATGTGTATTAGTTATTCATCCCATAATATTAGTTATATGTCTCAACTCAAAATAAGAAATTGAAAATATAAACTTATAAACAATAATTTTGCAATAAATAATAGGGATTTTTTCACGTTTAATATCGAAAGTTAAGTTTAAAATAACAAATTAAAGCCAGTTTAAAAAAAAAATTGAACAAAAATCATTGAAAATATAAACGAGATGCAGATAAAAATAATTTTTGTTATGCACCGTGCAATTTTTTATTTATTACTCAGTCCAACACTGTAATTATTTCGACAATTTCGAGGTTGCAGTCGACGGTAGAACGTTTTAGTTTGGTTAGTATAATTCCACTTACAATAGAATCTTTCTGCCTTTACGTGAATTTTGACTCCGCCTTCGCGTAGCTTCATGGGCAAGACTGCTTGCAAGTACTATAAATGGATCAATCATTAATATAACAGTAAGATTTATTCATTTTTAAGCCGACATTCCTATGAAACATGAATGATGTTTCATATGTTTGATCAATATAACCTTTTTGATTGTTTGAGGTTGAAGTTTTGGTATGAGAGTTTTGAGGAATACAATGAAATATGATTGTTACTTTTAACAGATTTATTGTTTTTCCATAATACAATTATTTAAGTTATAACTACTTTTCGCCACAAGTTTTAATAAAAGAATTCTGAAAATTGTGCCTAAAACTTAATGACATTCTTTCATTAAGAACAAATATATCTTTTAAGAAAAACTCAATGCAGATACTTATTCAGGACGTGATTTGCACGATTAGTTGCGAAAATTATTTGAAACAAATTTCAAAATTGTACGGTTTTCAAATTTCACACAAGTTTTTTTTTCCAGCATGCCATCTCAAATGTGTTTTCAAATTAGCTTTCTGGAAAAAGGCTTAAAACAAATTTCGCAGTTAGGGGACTTTTACTCGCCTTAAAGGGGAAAACAAAAAATATTGTTTTGATTTTTGTTTTTTTACGTAAAAACCTTCAATATTATCAAAGAAATATTGTCCTAAAATTTTATTAAGAAGTTCGAAATAGAAACCAATTTATAGTTGTGCTTATAACGGTAAGCATAGGCGCGCCCCACTGCACCTGTGCACCTGCAACTCGACAGTTCATTTCGAAAACTTATAAAGCGAGCATTTGTGTTTTATATTATTGATCGATAATTATTATTTTGAAAATCCAAAAAAATGCCTGGATATGGTGGTTAAAACAATTCTGAATTACTAAGTTCCTCGGCAAAATTGGAGATAAAAATACAACTTGAATAAAAATTGGAGAAAATAGCAACCAATTGGTCGGAAAATATCGAAGAGGCCCGTATTGCTTAAGTCAATAGACGGAACAGCGAGACCTTAAAAGAGAACGATTTCCGAAGTGCAAATTGAAACGTCATAAACTTATTTATTTGAACCTTTAATTGTGGCTTATTCCCATTAAAATAGTAACTAATTTAAAATGCCACAAGAAAATGGCTTCAGAACAATATGAAAAGAGGTCAGAGTTAGAAAAAAAGCTTTGACCGACCATTTACAGTTTTTACTGGACTGTGAGGGCACCCAATATGCACCAGAAATCGCTGATTAGAGGTAAAAAATAAAAATATCTATTTTATTCTATAAAATTACAACAAATATACATGACTAAAAGAACCTCTTAAAAGGTTCAAAAATACCCCACCTAATCTTTTTAGTACAGGGGTAAATTCACCGGCAAACAGGCGTATTTTCGAATTATTTATAAATTTGCGTATAAATGCCTTAAAAATATTAAAATAATTAATTTTTTTAAAGCTTTATTTATTAGTTTTAAGTGTCATAAATTCAATCCCATTAGAATTAAAAAAAAATTTACAGGAAGTAAAGTGTCTCCCAAATTAAATGTATCTCTTGGAGACGCCCTCTGCAGTGGTGAAAAACATCTAAAGTGTGAAAACATTATAACCATAAATATAATAGTTTTTTGTTTTTAATATTTAAAATTGTCTTTTTTCCGATTTAGGAAGTAAAAGTCCCTTAAAACGTTTTCCCCACTGTGAACTTTCATATGTCGATCCAAAGAAGATTTATGAGTGAACTGATTAAAACAAATTTCGCAGTTGTATGGTGTTTCCCCAGTATGCCATCTCAAATGTGTTTTCAAATTACCTTTCTGAAAAAACTGCTTAAAACAAATTTCGCACTTGTAAGACTTTTCTCCAGTGTGCAATCTCAAATGCCTTGTCAAATGACCTGTTTGTATAAACTGCTTAAAACAAATTTCACACTTGAAAGGCTTTTCTCCAGTGTGAATTTTCATATGATCATTCAAAGAATATTTATGACTAAACTGCTTTAAAACAAATTTCGCACTTGTAAGGCTTTTCTCCAGTGTGCAATCTCAAATGTGTTTTCATATTAGATTTCCGAAAAAAACTGCTTACAACAAATTTCACACTTATAAGGTTTTTCTCTAGTGTGCAATATCTATGTCCTTTTAAACTACTGGCATGAGTAAACGGCTTAAAACAAACTTCGCATTTGTTATCTTTTTCACCAGTGTGAACTTTAATATGTTTATCCAAAGAACTTTTATACGGAAACTGCTTAAAACAAATTTCACACTTGTAAGGCTTTTCTCCAGTGTGCAATCTCAAATGTGCTTTCATATTAGCTTTCCGAAAAAACTGCTTACAACAAATTTCACACTCGTAAGGTTTTTTCCCAGTGTGCAATCTCAAATGTTGTTTTAAAACCAGTTAAATCAATAAACGGCTTAAAACAAATTTCGCACTCGTAAGGCTTTTCTCCAGTGTGCAATCTCAATGTATTTTCAAATGACTTTTTTGTGTAAACTGCTTACAACAAATTTCACACTTGTAAGGCTTTTCTCCAGAGTGAATTTTCATATGATAATTCCAAGAACTTTTGTGAGTAAATTGCTTAAAACAAATTTCGCACTTGTAAGGCTTTTCTCCAGTGTGAATTTTCAAATGATGTTTCAAGGATCTTTTATGAGTAAACTGCTTAAAACAAATTTTGCAATTTGTTTCTTCTTCAATGGTTTGGTGCATAGGTTGTTCTTTACTACATGAATATAGATGTATTGTTTTCTTAGTTTCCGATGTGTTTTCCTCTTCAAGAAAGCCTAAAAAAACTCAAAATATATATTTTTTCAATTCAGAAAAATCTAATGCAATATAAAAAAAATATTGACACCTGAGTATGACATGATGACTGAAATACACCAAATTTGACATAATGTTAATTTCATGATTTGTTCCAAAATATTGAAGACAAACTTCTAGACTTCAATAACGCCCATGGCCGCAATCAGGGTTAAGTGATTCACAACATTGAAATTAATAGGAACATATATACAAAAGGAACATTTTTATTCTCTAGAGAGAAAGAGAATATATCTTCTGTCTCTCTCGTACATTTCCAACGTCGAACACGCGTATAGAAGTATAACTTCAATAAAGAAGAGCAGGAATAATAGAAAACATTCGTTGGAACATGAAAGGAAGCCCTCGTACAATTTGGAGAAAGATGGTCAGTATCACTAGAGATACTGCTATTAAAATACTTTACAAAACGTTAGCAAAGAAGTTTAAGAATAAACAGACTTGGTGGGGGTCAAACGAAGTACAAGAAAAAATAAAAAAAAAGAGGAAATTATACACAGCAGCAAAAAAATAGGTCATATACAGATCTTTAAAACTACATGGTCGCCAAGTAGCAGTAACAAAAGCTAAAGTAGAAGCGTATACAAATCTATACGATTAACTTCATATCAGGGAATGCGAAGCAGTGATTATATAAAATAGCCAAGCATTGAATACAGAAAGCAAGAGCTTTTAATTAGACTAGCTGCATCCGGGATAAAATAAATGAAATACTAATTCACGAAAATGATGTCAAAAAGAGATGGTTAAGTACTTTAACGAATACAGTAGAAGCAATGGTCACCAAAATATTAAATTAGGAAGTGATTCAAGCACTTCAGTTGGATCAGACGATATTACTGGGGAAGTGTAGAGAGCATTAGGGGAAACAGAAACAAGTTGGTTACCTAGCCACACCATTAAAATATGAAAGAAAGTAACTGATAGATGTTTCGAAATGAAATTAATACTGGTAAAACGGTCAACTAAACTATAATAACACATAAACTTTTAATTAACACCAATTAAAATATTTAAATAAATTTCTTTTTATAACAAATGCGTCGTTTACCCTATGGATCACAATTCTCCTCTGATTGTAATATGCTTATTGTTATTTAAAACAAATCGGAAAACGCCATTATGTGGTCAGTGTACAACCGATTTCTTTGGAGTCAAAGGCCGACAGTCTTCTCATCACCTCTTTATTAATTTGCTACCGAACGTGTTTAGGTATATAATCGTTGCTGAGATATAAAAACTTTTTAATTTGATTACGATTTCTTAGGTTATATCTTCTTGCTAATTCTGTGACTTTATCTTCATCTACAGATTCTTAATGAGGTAATTCACCGAATGATTGCCGGTATAAGCGATCCCACCATTCACTGGCCAACGGCTTCTTGCGGAGGAGCTAGTATGTGGAAGAGACACTCTTTTGTCCAGAGATCGAGAAATCGGTCTCGAAGGCGGATGAACCAAGGATGGTCAACGGCGGAAGGATGCAGAAGGCAACGGGGAACCACGGCATTAAAGACTCATAGAGTACCCCTAGTTAAGTCATTATGGTGTACAACAAAAATACTGGAAACCCTACTGATCATGGAAATAGGATACCAAGGTTCGGCAGAGAAAAACACAAGACTACAAGGCTCATTTGGTCGTAAACATGCAAAATCCTTGTACAAGAGCGCAGAAACCAACAACTGAGTTGCAACGTGGAATGTTAAAAGTTTGTTCTCTACAGGAAAACTGGATAATGTTGAGCAAGAAATGAATAGACTAAATATCGATGTTTTAGGAATCAGCGATACCCAATGGCCAGGATCTGGGAAATGTTCAACTTGAAATGATGGCGTATTTTATTACTCCGGAATCGACAACAACACACATCGTTACGGAGTTGGAATCATCATTTCAAAGCAATGGAAAATTCTCTGATTACCAGTACTCCTTATTCAGAGCGCTTAATATTAATACAAATTAAAGAAAGACATAACATAGTAAATCTTATTCAAGTCTATGCACCAACAGCAGATAAAGATGACAATGAAATAGAACAATTCTACAACGATTTAGAAGAAATACTGAAAACAATAAAAAAAACAACACATTAACATAATAATGGGCGATCTTAATGCCAAGGTGGGTCAAGGTAGGACAAATAGGAAAATATGGGCTTGGAAACAGTAATGACAGAGGAGATCGATTGATTCAATTTCGCCAAAGTGAAGACTTCGTAATAAATACCTTTTTCAAATTACTTTCTCGACGGTTATATACATGGACATCTCCACAGCATACCAAAGAAAAAATAGTGAAAAATCAAATAGACTACATTATGATAGCAAGGAGGTATCGTAATGTAGTCACATTATGAGACACCCTGAAAAATATGATCTTTTACATCTGATCATTCAGGGAAAGATCCAAGGTATTCGTGGTCCTGGTAGACGAAGAACATCATGGCTGAAAAATCTAAGGCAATGGTATGGAGAATCAACTACATCGTTATTTAGAGCTGCTGTCAATAAAGTCACGATACGAATATGGTAGCCAACATGATATCCAACGATCGATAACGGTCATGGAACTAGAAGAAGACCGTAATGCTGTTAAATGTATTAAGACGTACCCAGGAACTGATATAGGCTCAGATCATAACCCGGTATATATTGTGATAGAGGCGAGACCAAAAAAGATTAGAAGACCACACAGAAAGCCACTAGATTTAAATAAACTTAGAAACAAAAATATACGACCAGAAACAGCAGAAGAAATAAATGAAAACCTTCGTTCAGTGCAACAACAAATTACCGATACAAGTAACGGTAACCAAAAATTAAAGTACATAAATACAGCAATACAAACAGCAGGAAAGAAACATCTTACAAAAACAACAACAAAGAATAAGGGGTGGATGACACAAGATATACTAGACTTGATGGAACAAAGAAGAAAGATGAAGAATTCCCAGACAAATACAAAGAAATAAATAAACACACAAGAAATAAAAGAATAAAAGAAGCCAAAGAGGAGTGGATTAAAGAACAGTGTGAAGAAATGGAAACCTATGAGAAAAAGTACGATGCGTTCAATATGCACAAAAAAGTAAAAGAGATAACAGGAAGCACAAAGAAATGCCAAATAAGTAAACTTAAAGACAAAGATGAATTCTATACAGAAATTTCTACACAACTGTTGAAGCTTTTGAATGATAAATCCGTAACCATAATATTACATAAATAAACAAACAAACATCTATTCAATACAATATACAGTACTGGTATAATACCTCAAGAAAGGTTGCTGTCTACGTTTGTCATCATACCGAAGAAAACTAAGGCAATGCAATGTTCAGATTATCGAACAATCTCCTTGATGAGTCACCTGCTTAAAATATTTCTTAGAGTCATCCACAACCAAAACCCCCTCTATGGCTCAGTGGTACGAGCGCCTACATTTGAACCTAAAGGTCGTGCGTTCGAATCTCACCTGGGTGGAGAAATTTTCGTTTATTAAAAATTAATGAATGAAAATTATTTCTATCCTTGTGCGATCGGTACTCTCCGGAGGGACCGCAGACGTTTGGATACAATTAGCGTCTCTTAGCAAAGACAATGACGTCGACTTTGCTAAGTATCAAGACAATTACTCTACACACACACTACACTAGGTACTTGACTGTAAAAATTCACTGTACCATGCCAATGACCATTAGTTGTCGACGCATTAAACTCAATAATAAAAAAAAATCCACAACTAAATCGATCAAAAGTTAGATATCGACATTAACGATACACAGATGGGACTCAGAAAAGGATTAGGTACAAGAGAAGCTCTCTTTGCCCCAAATGTCCTAACACAGAGATGTCTAGATGTTAACCAAGAGGTGCATGCCTGCTTTATAGACTTTGAAAAGGCCTTTGACAAAGTACGCCACAATCAACTCAAAGAAATCCTGGAAGGTAAGAACATCGACACCAGAGACATACCAATAATATTAAATCTGTACTGGAATCAGCGAGTATATATAAAAAACCAAATATATGACCTTCAGTAAGAATCCAATACATGACACTAGTATCGCAATAAACGGTACCCAACTTGAAAAAAGTAAGTGAATACAAATACTTGGGAACCCTCATTAATGAAACAGGTAACCAAAATCACGAGATAAAAGACGTATTGAAATTGCCAGGTCTACCTTTATAAAAATGAAAAAATTATTTTGTAATCGTGATATTAGTATTCATCTACGAACTAGAATGTTAAAATGCTATGTATTCAGTACTTTGCTTTACGGTGTTGAGGCATGGACTCTTAAACAGAGGAATATTAAAAATCTTAAAAGCTTTGACATGTGGTGCTACCGCCGTATACTAAAAATAAGTTGGGTAGATAAAATTACAAATGAAGAGGTAATACGCAGAATAAATAACGATCCAAGAGAAAACTTGAATAATACTGTTTTGGCCTGAACCCAGAGTATCCGCAGTAAAAAAAAGAAGAGTGGAAAAAGAAGAAGAAAAATAGAAAAGAGCAGAAGAGAGACAAAAGAAAAGAGAACAAAAAAACTTTGTTAAAAAACAGAAACTGAAAGTGACGAAAAAAAAAAGTAAGTAAGAAAAAGGAAGAATCATCAAGTGATAATAATGAATCATGGGTTGAATCTGGTAGCAGTCTGGATGATATATCTTTTGAAGTAGGTGATTGCAGTGATAAGGATACTGATCATATAAATTATATGGAGGGGGATTATGTACTTTCAAAATTCCCTGGAAAGAAAAAAGAATATAAATTTGTATGTGTAATGCAAAGTTGTGGGTATGAATTATTGTGATGACAGTAAAACTTCATTTCGAATTAATGATAAAGATGTGAGTGTAATAACATTTCATCAAATCCTAAAAAGGATACCCCAACCTCAGATACTCATTTCAGGAGAAAGAATAAAGTATCAGTTTCCAGATTCAGTGTATGTGGATGGCTAACATTAAAGTTCTCCTGTAATTACATATTCTTAATAAAATTATCAAAATACATTTGGGTGTCAATTACTAAAACCTTGGATGTGTCAACTATTAATTTTTTTTCATTTTGTTGTGTCAACTAGTGGCACTTTTACAACAATTTTTGTAAATTTTATAAAAAATATTTAGAAAGCAGAATTGTCCAAAAATTTATTTGTTAAATATTCAGGAAGGATTAGATTACCTCAATATACATATATTTTTTATTTAAGTTCAACTACATCGGTTTGACGCTAAATAATGTTTTTTTTTTCTTCTTATAATGTCAACTACTAGTACATTTACCTTACTTAGGCTACCTGATGAGAGGACAAAGTACACGTTCCTACAAAATATAATGCAAGGAAAAATCCAAGGACGCAGAAATCCAGGCCGTAGAAGAATGTCCTGGATAAGAAATTTAAGAGAGTGGTTTGGCTGTACCACTAACGAATTATTCAAAACAGCAGTTAATAAAATTAGAATCGCTTTAATGATATCCAATCTCCGATAGGAGAGGCACTCAAAGAAGAAGAGGTACTAAGTCTTCTCCCACACGGTGTCAAACAAAAGTTATGGTTCTTTAATAGAACACCCTGTATATAATTTAAAAAATTTATTCTCTATTTTTTCCTGATTACAATAACTAAGTTATCAGGGATAAAATGTGCTCATAAGTTTTAAAACTTATGAGCAGTTGTGGCAATAAAACGTTTGTATACTAAAATACTTGTACATAAAGAATTTGTTTAATTGTATGTGATATTTACTTTTATTAACAATTTTTTATAGGTAATATTTTACAAAAAGTTCTGTTCAGTCGAATCGATTAGTCTTATCACTCCCTAGATATATCACCGAAGATAACAACACCGATATGTTTTATTTAAACTTTATAGAAAATGAAAC